CACTTTAACAGAAACTAAACTATGGTAACTGAAATTTACGATTGCCTTGCTTTGTCTCGACTTTATAACTGCCTTGAAATATGCAACGTTTCGATAACAATCGATCGAGATCTAGTTCTATTGGTTACATGCATATTTCACGTGATTCCGCTAGATGTGTAACTAGGAATTTGATCAATTTCGCGAGTGTTACGTTTCGGTAGAAGTGATTATAGGGACGACGACATGGTATTTGAGATTTGATTCAGTGGGGTTCAAGTAATTGTTGAATCTAACACCCGGTATCGATCGTTGGAGCAGAGACACAGTTAATTAAGTAGTGAATACTCGAGATGTGAGAAAGATGATATTGTTGAATTCGATCTTTGATTGACTCGTGAAACATTCTAGACTGTGAATCCGAATGGAAAGAAAATATGTAATTTTGACACACTGCATAGTTCGACATTTGAAAAGAAATTAAAGTATTAATATTAAAATTTGGTAATTTATTTTTATTGTTTATTTTTATTAATGCTATATCTTAATCTGATTAATATATATATTTATTTGACAAATCATTTAATTAAATGTTTTTTTCAAAAATGAAAGAAACGAAAATAGATATGAAAAAAAATTTTAATTTTTGATCTCGGGTCACTAAATACAAAAATCAGTGTACAAATAATTGTATTGGCAAAAGTTTGCCACTTGATCCGTGAACGTGCTCGCACACGGCCATTTTGAAATTTTTTTCGTTTGCATTGCTACATGCCGCAGCGTGAAATATTCGACACGTTCAATCATTCTTCAAATATTTTCCATTTTATCGGTTCAACAGGTAGGCCACAGTTATATCCATGGTTGCATTGCAAACGTTTCACTAAACCGACTAAATTAAAATCAGTACCAGATTGTCGTATCTCTTTGATTTAAAAATATATTACTTTTTTGCGCTATATTTCGTGAATGGTAGTTGATCCAAGAGAATTAGATCAATCAAAAAAAAAAATCGTTAATTATATAAAGCGTGTTTAATTTAAAAAATGCTTGAAAAGTAAATAGTAAAAATATAATTTATATAATTTTATAAATAATATTTTTGTTTACGGAAAAGAAATGTAATTTGATATTGAAAAGAATAATTATTCTTTTATATAATAATAATAAGAATTATATTTTAAATGTGAATTTATTTAAAGATGAATATAAATAAGATAATAAATTAATTAGAAATATGAAAAGCTAAGAAAATTTTATAAAATTCTGTTTTAATATTATTGTTTTATATTGGTAGAAAAAGAAAAAAAAAGAAAAAGAATGGAGAGATTATTTCATTATAGATCAATTAGCAATTCTTTAAGTAAAATCACTTTTGAATAAGATCTTCTTTTGGATAGGATCTTTCTTTGAATAAAATTCTCTTTTTTTTCTTAGATAGAATTAGGTTAGGTTGCTCTTTCAATCATTTTTGGATATTCTCTATTAGACAGAATTTTCTTTTAGATAGTGCATATTTGAATCTTTTTTAGATTTTTTAAATAAAATTTTCTATTGAAAATCCATATTTAAATAGGATTTTTAGACAGGGACTTCTTTGGAACAAGTTGCTTTGTATAATAATGTTTTCATTTAAATAGAATCTATTCTAAGTCTCTTGTGTTTTATTTTGAATAGATTTAATAAAAAATCTTCAATTTTTATTAAAGTTTATATAATATATATAATAATATATAGTTTATTTATATTTATTATATTTATTATATAATATTATTAAAAAAGATCATTTCTATATCAACGTTAATCTTTCTAATAATAAAGAAATAAAAATCTTATTTCATTCTTTTAAAACAATTTTTACTTCAGTCTTTGTAATAGACAATTAACAAAGTATTATATATATAATTCATTTACATAACACAAAAATTGAATAATTTTAATATTAATATAAGTTTTATATAGTGTAATAATCTTTTTCATAGAAGGATGCTTAGAGATTATATGAAAAATTTTGTTTTTTTTAAATTAGAATTATATAAATAAAAATAAGTATTAAATAATTTAAAAAATGCATAAATAAATATGCATTAATAAATAAATATATGGATTGAATATTAATAATTAATAATCACGCGACTAGTGTTGTATCAGAGATCCTATTGTTAAATTTTTATTCTCAGTAATTAATTCTATTTTAAATTCTCATTTTAAAATTTTTTTTTTATGTATAATTATAATCAAAAATATCTCAGAATACTCCTTGATCAAACGGTTAAATGATGTTGGATAAATGGCAATCGGCATATTATTAATCGACGTAAATGATCTGATCCGTGGAATGATTTTGCACGATAAATCTATTAAACGTGTTTTTCTAGAATTGGCCATTTTCCAAAAATCGTCGCTTGTCCCTGACAACCGGTGAACCCTTAAAGCGTCGTTTGTTTCGCAAATGTTCGCGACCTGGCCAAGTAAAACGACACGGAAATCGCGTAATTGCGGTGAATGTTGCAATAATAAATCTTTATGGCGAATCCGTTTTCTGTTAATGCCAGAATATTCACTTAATATTATGCATTTCGTGGGATGCTGATGTGACTCTCGCGTGCTTCATTGAAAATTGATACGGTTTCAGGATAAGATTTTTCTTTTTTTATATTTTTTATAAACATCATAGTTGAATATTCAGAATATTTTTTCGAAATTTGAAATTGTTATTTTAAAAATACAATTTGGATATATTGTATCTTTAGTATTTCAGAAATAGATAATTTTCCTAAATATGTGCTATTATATGAAAATAATAAATATTTGTATATTTATGATTATTTCACTTCATCCATCAATAATCTGTAAGATTCGATGGAATTTGTCGTTTTTTCATTCCTACACAAAAATTTCTGTTATATTAATACCAAGTGTTAAATATAACCTCTCGCAATCTATCAACTTTGATCTGCCAGTTATCGCGCACAAACAAGATTCTAACACAAGATCTAACACAAACGTATCTCGGAAATTCTTGTCGGAAATCTTTATCTAATCTTAGACCAAGAGAAATGAGAATCGATATCTGTTGATTTCCATGTTTCAATCAGTACGCAAATCATCATGTTATATAAATAAGATAATTTATTTGTTTTTAGGATAATATAAGGCCACTAAGATTTGTTTAAAATTTAACATTCTAAGTGTAAAATATTCTAAATGTATATAAAATTAAAAATGTATCTCTTATATGATAAAATGGTAGATATTAATTGTCAGAAAACTAAGATATTTAATAAAAATAATCATTTGAATGGATAGTTGTAGTCATATGTAGTTATTATAAAAAAAAATAATAAAAAAAAGCATTCTGATAAATAATATAGATTAATTTATTGACAGATGAATAAAATGAGAAAGTTAAATAAACAAATAATATAACTTAGCTATTAAAATTTGAATTAGACAGTGATCAATCAAATAATATAAATAAGTTATTTATTAGATAAGTGAAGAGTAATATAGTATAGATCAATTATTTACCTGACGTTAAATATAATATAGTCAAACTAGTCTGTTACTTATCTGATAAATGATATAGGCCAATCAACTGAGATTAAGATACTTTTAACATCTTATCCTAGAAACAAGATTAAACTTCGAACCATGCGCTTTCTGTGCACAATTTCTCCGTCAATTTAGCATCGTAATTTGTAAGACTAAGTACCTTTTAAAGGGACCCGTATTATGCCATCGTTATTTGAAACTGGATGCTTTCGAGCGAAGAAATATCGTCGCTTTTGTCGAAACAAATAGTTTCTAGAAAATTAACGTGAGAAATATCTTTCTTAAAATTGGCAAGGCTCCCTAATTATTTCAGATTATTGGAATTTCCGCCATTTCACTTTTCACTTTCTTCACTTATTGATTGTTATTCTTAATACAATTTCCAAGTTTGAACTTTATTTTTAAATGATATTTTCTTTGAACTAATTAGAAATTATAAGTTGTGGAATTGAATTATGATTCTTTTAAATGCGTCGTAAAATGTGTAATATAAAAGTGAAAAATTATTTTTGTTTATTATTATAGAATATATTTAATTATTTTGTAATTTTTATTTTTATTTTTAATTAATTTTGAAATTATAGATTCGAGATAAATCGGAAAAATTCGGGAGAGTTCGGGCGAAGTAAAGTTTCGGATCGGTTCGGCTATAATCGGCTATGTTCGGCTA